CCCCAAAACCCAGTCTGGCACTCCGGGGATGGCCTGCCAGGCCTCAGCCCGCGTGACAAGAGGTTGGATTAATTTGAGTGGCTGGTCGCCGTATGGGGACCCCACACTCAGAAGAGGAAATTTGCTCTCTTTTGAAAATGCTTTCAAAAAATTCTTCGCTAGACTTAATGATCTACTAGCGAGAGCAGTCAGCCCTCGTGCGTGCTGCCTCAGCGTGGGCGTGGCCCAGACGCGTCCAATTTGAAGCTGTCAGTGATAATCATTAGTGACAGCATTCTCTTTTAATCTGCCTAAAAAAATCAAACCGCTCATTAGAAGAGTACTGATGATCTTTGTGTAAACACTCAGGCAGATCAAAAGTGCTGCGCGCATTCTCTCAGATCCTCTTGTAGCGAAGGGCAGGGCCGCAGTCATTGAAGAGGGTGAGCCGCGAGCAAAGCAGAGCGAGACATGAACTCTCATAGTGAGAGCGGTCTGTCAGCGAGCGCAGCCTCAGCGTAGGCGTGGCCCAGGCGAGAGGCGCATTTAAATACGAAGCTGTCAGCGATATTGAATCATTGGTGACAGCGTTCTGCGCGATCCTCACGTGGAGAGTGCGTGGAGAGTGATGCACGCAGGGGCTTTGCCGGCATTAAATCACTCAAGCCTGATCGCTCAACCCCGCGAGTTCGCCGTTGCTTCCTCCGAGGTAACTGGGAGGAGAGAAACATGAGAGCGTGGAGGCGGGGCCGTCTTCCGCGAATGAACAGGGGCAGACTGCTATCGTGGTAAAAGCAGCCCGTCTCTGTGAGCGCAGCCATAACGACACACACACAAATTAGAAGCTGCCAGTGACAGCGTTCTGCTCCGATCCACTTAGGAGGATAAAGCCGCTCTATGTAACGAGGGGCGCTGATCTTCATGTGTAAGACACGGATCGAAGCACAGCGGGGAGAGCGAGCACGCAGGCTCTGTGCCGGCATGCGATCGCTCAGACCTGGTTGCTTAGTTCCCTGACTCCGCTGTTTCTCTCTCCGAGGCTCGCTGAGAGAGGAGAAACGTGAGCGCGGGGCTGCCTTCAATGAAGGCGGTCCGCAAGTGGAGAAGAGCGAGACTCATGCTCTCAGCGAGAGCATTCCGTCTCAGTGAGAGACTGAGGGGCTGCCCAGACAGTTGACGCGCTCACTGCCATTCTGCATTGTGCAAGATTCCCTGCACGAGCCACACTCGTAGCGCGACATTTGCAACAACGTCACTAGAAATGTAGCTCTTTTAGAACTTACCTCTTAAAAATAAGCTCTTTTAGGCTCGCCGGATGGCGGAAGGGGATCAGCTGGGACCGCTGCTGCTGCAACGCTGAAGGCGGTGAAGAAGCGGCGAAACAGCCAAGCAGAGGGTCGCTGGTTCAGCTTGATCCGCTGCGAAGGCGATTCTACGCTGAGAGGCTTCGAGTCTCATAAATCAGCGAAGAATGACGTCGTCGCTGAAGGAGAAGAAATCTGAGGATCCTATGGCGAAGTGCCACTTATATAGCCAGATGCCCCGCCCATTCTGGCAGGCTCTGGCGGGCTTCGTCACCATTGGTTCGTTTTTTTTTATTTACTGCACGAACCAATGGCCATGCAGTTACACTGCATTATTGAAAGGCTTCAGTATTCGGAGAAAAAGGAGTTTTCCCATAGCGTTTTAGCAGACGCAGTACGAGTGAGGTATCGATAGGGAACTACCTTTTAATCAAAACATTATTTTTGTATCTGCGAGGCGTCCGTTACACATTTTCCCTGTGCGTCAGTAATTATGACTGTCCAATGTCTGACTTGGCTCTTGGTAATGTATTTTGCCCCCCGCCCCCAAACATATGATTTGACTATCAGTCGACTATCGTCAAGATTCGAAAATATCGATTCGACTATGAAAATCCTTAGTCGGGGACACCCCTAAATATTAATAGTATACTATAATATTATTTAGAATTAATATTATTACTTTATATTATTTTAAAATACTTATATTTATAGTAATATTTGTGTTTTATATTTTTTTTTTAATTGAAATTTTAGTTTAGGTCTTACTAATTTTGTTGTTTTTGTATTATTTAGTTTTTATGCATTTTATTTTAGTTTTAGTATAGTATTATAGTATTTATTAATATTTTGAATCAGGTTTTAATTTTTAGATTTTCAGTTTTCATATATTACTATTACAATAACTAAAATAAACAAATTTATAAATCTAATTTTTCAGAACAGCAAAATTACACTAATAAAATACACTAACATTAATATTTATTGCCATCTTAATTTCTTTCAAACATAAAACCTGCATTTAAGCAATTCAGGATGGAAAAATGGACATTTGTAGAAATATAGAAAAAAAAATCCAATATCAAAAAGACTTGTGTAAATTTTTCATGAAATCAGAGTCATTTTTAACTCTAGTACTATTCCGAATAGAAAAGCCGAGGTCTCACCTCCTGGGAAGTCTCCCTGTGGGTAGTCGAATTGGTGCAGTGGATATGGCGGCCGTTCGAAGTGATGCCGCGGAGGAAACTCGTGCTGCATGAAGCACGGCGGAAAGCGTCCGAAGTTGTGTGGTGGCGGCGGCGGCTGGTTGAACGGCGGATGCTGCATGCGGAAGGGAGGCTCCCTCTGGCCCCATGGCGGCGGCTGATCCGGCTGGCTGCTCCACGGCGGCTGGTCGAACTGACCGCTCCAGGGGCTTGCGGGGCCCCCGTCCCAAGGGCCACACCAGTTGGGGTACCGCTGCTCGTTCCACATGCCCTTGTGGCTGTTCCAGGGCGGCCAGGGCGGCGGGGCTTGAGACGGGTCGAATGGTGGCTGGAGGCGGAAACATATATTAGTATCAGTGCTGAACTGAATATTTAAATAAGTAAAATAAAAAATTAAGATGGTCAAAGACATTTTTAATCTGAAAACAATGCAAAAAAAAAAATGACACTGCAATAGGTGTCTACTTGATTTTTATTTGGAAAATAAATTGTAATCCATTACTGATTTCAAATTTCAAATTACGTTACGAAAATTGTAATTAGTAACAATCTATTGCACTACTTTTTTGATTATTTTAGATAGGGCTGGGTGATAAATTGACAACGATAATTATCGTGTGATATAAATTTCCTCGATAAACGATAACAAGCATTCGATATAATGTTTATGAGGCAAAGGCGGAACAAAAGAGCGCTAGTCATTTTAAGCTCAAAATCATCACAATTAAAAGAACAAAAGACTTAAACTACTTCAGTCTGTGTGCATTGAATTTATTTAATACACGAGTTTCACAATTTGAGTTGAATTACTGAAATAAATGAACTTTTCCACGACATTCTAATTTATTGAGATGCACCTGTATATGACCTCCTTTATCATGTGTATAAGTATCTTGAAGAAAAGCCCCGGAGAAACCAAGGCAGAACACAGTATCATCAGTTACTGCTCTTTGACTTTGTTTTAGAGCGCTCAGATTAAGTTACGGTGCTCTGCATTTGCCGTTCGTCAATATTACTGTGCCAGCCTGGAGTTATACGGTATTCTCCTGCCTTTGTTTTACTGTCCATTAAAGACTGCACTTTTAAATGACAGTGTAGCTTATACTTTCATACATCTGTTGGCACTTCTTTAGACAAACAAAGTAACTTCTTAAGATGAACAAACTGCTCCATATAACAAAGCACTGTAAACAAGCAACGACTAGATAACTTGGCAGCAATAATTAATCGTAAATAATCTTTAACGTTTTTTTTTTCTTTTTATAATGCAGATGCCAACTATAAGTCTGGGGCTGCCCACTTCTGCACGTGTGAGGAGTCGAATGCCATGACAGCGTATCACATAAAATCAGTAACTGTTCGCAATTAAATCCTTTCCTACCTTTTCTTGTAACTCGATAAAAAACATTGCAATGAACGTCATCAGAGATGTTTAATTCACAATCATTCTGAGCATTATTCCTGCTGGCATTCACATTAATCCACAAGTCGTTCTTATAGGTTAAGCTATTTTCATTTGGTTCGATGTAAAAACAATAGGCTAAGTATGTCTTGCATCCATTAATGTTAGCGAACACTGCAAATAAATTGGTTGCAAAACGGCATCCACTCACGTTTAACTTTTTGTCTTGGTTGTTACGGTCAGAAAAGAAATTTAATCACATTACTATATGTTATAGCCTAGCCAATGATCATTAGATTTTATACAGATGTTACTATAATGATTCTGTAAATGGTGATCAGCACCCAAATATTGTATATAATGTGGAAGCTACTGCCTTTTGCCTTGGCGTGACATCTCACTTTTTGCAGACAGTGCAAAGGCAGAGTACCTACAATAACTTCAAAATAGCGGTAAAAATCAAGTTTGAGATCATTTTCATTAAAACATCTAATTGCCAGGTTTCCAGTGTCCTACCCATAATTAATTTTTCTGATAAATAAACATCTTTAAAGCCATTTTTCTAAGTTTCACACTCTGGAGCAGAGTGGCAGTCCACCTGTCACTCAAGTGGCCACGCCCTTAATTATGCAGAACTTTAAGGCTTAATATAATTTAAACGGATGAGTTATAAAAAAAAATTCACCCCCCTCACAGTTGTCATGAAGGTCATAATTACCTATATAGAACGAAACCACTTTTTGTACCTGGCTGTAAACATGTTTTTTTTCTGCAAAGTTGGGCATTTTAACATGGCAGGTCTATGGGACTGACTCCCTTTCCAGTCGATGAATTGCAGTTTTAGTCACTTCCGTATTGGTTTCAAGCGAGAGACCGGGAGGTTGCCGCTTGGTTTACAGCCAGATGAAACAGCGATGACAAACAGCAGAAACACTGTGCGCAACGATACAGTTAGAAGACTTTTTAATCTACAAATCACCATCATTTACCATGGATTTACTGTAGTAACACTAACTGCACCATGGTATTGTGTCAGAAATGTGGGTATTCGTGTCGAATTTTATTATATTACTAATGTAGACATGTATTAAATATATTGAAGGAGTAGTAATTTTTTGTGATTAAGCCATATTTTGTGATTAAGCTAAGCTATAGCATTTATGCATTTATACTAAATGTATTTAGTCTACTGTTTTTCAAACAAATACATAGAAGCCATATTACATTTTTACATGGTATTAAGGTGCTATATTTGTGGTTTTAACTGATTATCATGATCTAAATGTATGCTACTAAGGAAGACCAATGGTTTAAAAAACAAAAACAAAAAAAAAAGCACCTCAAACAGTCCGAATAATGAAATTTCACTATATAAAAATGAGATTGCTACCATTTTTACAGATATTACTGATTTTGATAATGAACATAAATCTACATCTGCATCCTAACTCAAGCTACTATCAAATGTGTGTTTCTAAGAGACAAAAAAAATTTATATTATTATCAGGCAACACAAACCTGTTTCTTGATTTGAAACAATATCACTCATTAGAACATGCAGAACTAAGAAAGAATTTTTTTCTATTAAGATATTTATTTTGTTAAGGAAAAATGACTGGAAAAAGTGTAAAGAATTCAAAAATGAAGTTTGTCGTGTTCTGATCATAAAGAATAGTTTAAAACCACAATTAACAGTCAATTAACAACTTCCACATTAGAGCAAAAATCTACCTTTAAACTTGAAAGAAATAAAAATTTGACATTTATCGTGATAATTATCGATATAGACTGATATGAAAAAAAAAATTATCATGATCATCGATAATCGCCAAGCCCTACTTTTAGATTATTTTTACTTCTGACCTAATTCGTTCATCAAATTCATTTGAATATGATAAACTTGTTCTATATTGATATAAAAATACCAAGAGAAAGAACATATATTTGTTATCAACAACATAATGCGTATTAAACATTTCAGCGGGTTTGTGAAGAAATAACATAGGGTTTAAAAGCTGTTTAACTTAATAATTAAATTGTAAAAATGTAAATATAACTATTTATAAATAATACAAATATTTCTAAAATAAATAAAAGTGGATAATCTTTTAGAATGAAAAATTTAAAAGACGAACAATTTACTGACATTACACAAGTAAAATATAAGCAATAACATAGTAACAACAGTAATCTGATTATGAGCATTTTAAAACATAGTATATTCTAATTACAAATACCTTATATTTGGAATCTGAGTATGTAATCCAGATTTCATGTAATCAGTTACTGAGTTAGTATTAATAAACAGCTGCACACAGTATAAGAACTGTAAGATATTGAAGTGTTTTTTCACTCACAGGTTGTTGCGGGTTCCACACCGGCATGCTGTGCTGCGGAGCAAACCAACCGGCCAATGGAGGCATCAGATCTCCTGAAAAAAAAAATACAAAATTGAAAATACACCTAATGGAAATATGTCAATTTCGCAAAAACTACAATATATCGCAAAAAAAAAAAAAAAAAAATTACGCTTGATAATTCGGCAATTAAAAAAAGGAATATCGCAAAACTGCAATGGAACGTTTTTCCGCATTTACAGGTCACCTGACCTACGTAAAAATCACATGATCATTCTTTAATGTACTATAACCTCCAAGAAACACCTCATACGTGGCTGCTCTCAAGTATAAGAGGCTTTCCTTGCCATTAATGCTTGAATGGATAACCCCTAGGGATGTAACGATTAACCGCGAGCCGGTTGAAAATCGATTCAAATATGTGACGATCGAAATCGGTTGAGATGCTAAACAAATCGCGATTCATTTAGGGTTAGGAGTTTATATGAATGTATATCTGAGGGGAACTTACTGTCTTTAGAAAAGTTTAGATGGTATTTTTTCTTTTCATCTTGCCTCTGTAATATGCATATTAAAGTTCATAAGTGCAGCCCTGCTTTGTTTGCAGCGGAAACCAAGGAAACGCTTTAAGCACCACCTGCTGGCAGAGAGTGAATCTGCGTCTCATTCAGCTCGTCTGCTGTTTCTGTTTCATGCAGATATTTTTATGTATAGTTTCACAAAACTGAAGTCAATCCATTCTGTTTTTGCTTCAAATTTCGAAATTATACAATGTAATTTAGATTAAAAACTGCTCATGTTGCATGTATGCAGCATCTTTGTTTGGATCATGATTAAAATGCAGTGGTTGCAGCTCATTTTAAATGGAAAGAGCACAGACAAAGCCTTAGTTTGTTTATATGAAGAGATTTATTTGTGTTACACACGTCTGTGGCGCATTACGGCTCCGACACGGCCACTCTACCAGCGGCACATAAGCATCCCAGAAGCGGCTCTCCACGCTGCTTTGCTAGAGATACATGCATGCATACATCTTCTATTAAAGATAATGGCTAGTGCGGTGGCTGCGATATACATAAACCTAGCAACATCAGTCACCATGACTTACTGCGAGAGGAAAAAATTACGTTTTAGTCGTTTAACATCGGTTAATGGAAACGCTGTCATTTCGCAATACTCTTTTTATCGACATTTATAAAATATTGCAAAAGTTTTGCGTAAATCTGTAATAGAAATGCACCTATTGTGTTTAAGTGTTTGGTCTAGTTATGTGAAGCACCGCAAAAGAGAAAAATTGTGAAATATTATTACAATTTAAAAGTACCGTTTTTTTATGTGACTGTTAAAATGTAATTTATTTCTGTGATCAAAGCTGAATTTTCAGCATCATTACTCCAGTCTTCAGTGTGACATGATCCTTCAGAAATCATTCTAATATGCTGATCTGCTGCTCAAGAAACTTTTCTGATTGTTATCAATATTGAAAACAGTTGCCCTGCTCATATTTTTGTGGTAACCGTGATACATTTTATTTTTCAGGATTCACAGATGAATAGAAAGTTGGAAAGAACAACATTTAATTGAAATAGAAATCTTTTGTTACATTATAAATGGCTTTTACGGTCACTTTCAATCAATTTAATGCATCCTCGCTGAATAAAAGCATTACAATTCTGACCCCAAACACGTCTAGGGCTGTCACGATTATGAAATCTGGCTGACGATTAATTGTCTAAAAATATTCATGGTTATTGCGATTAATTGTCTGTTTTAGGGCTTTGGCGATTATGCCGATTATCACGACTAATTGTCTGTTTTTATGGCTTTCATTATATAATTGATATAATTTTGAGTGTTCTAAAAATAAATAAGATGTTATCTTT